ATGTTGAAGTGTCCCCACCTGCTGGATTTCCTGACCACGCACACAGAGGTTTCGAGACTGTCACATACATGTTACAGGTCCAACCTTCTTTCCTTTTATTATTTTTTTAAATGTTTTTGGATTCTGGATTTCAGATTGCAATAGGAAATTGAAGTTACAAATTTCGGTTTGTTTGGATTTCAGGGAGCAATCACTCACCAAGACTTTGCAGGGCACAGGGGTACAATCGGACCTGGGGATGTGCAGGTATCTATCGATTTGTTAATAATATTAGAGTCGTCAAATTTGTTCACATATATATTCACCGAATTATGTGTCAATATCGTTGTTGTTGTTATCCGGTCAAAATAAATGGTCAAACGTCGAGGCGTTATTTGGTGAATAAATTTCACGACGTTAGCAGAAATGTTTGTGATTGGACATGTATTAAGCATTTTGTTGGATGTGTGATTTTTTGGGGGCAGTGGATGACGGCAGGCAGGGGAATAGTTCATTCAGAAATGCCTGAAGGAGAAGGACCCAACACTGGTTTGCAGCTTTGGATCAATTTAGCCCGGAAGGACAAAATGTACGTATTTTTTCTCATTCCACTGCATAATTTGGGATAGGGTTATTTACACACCTCTTTTATCTCGCACAAATTCTTGATAATTTATGTTTATTGATCTTTTTCAATTTATTCGATCACAATTAAAAATTATAACATGTGTGTGAGAAGTAAAAATAAGTGTGTGTATAGCACCGCCTCATAATTTATTTTTGTGCATCAATTAGTTGTCAATATTTAGTATTTATATCTATGCACTCTGTTGTGAGTTGAGTCATCACCAATCTTTACCCTATAAAAACTAACAATTTAACACAATAATTTGTCAAAAAAAATAAAATAATTTTCAATACTTACATTTTGTAAAAAAAAACATAAATAGCAGCCATGGCAGCCCGAAGAGGTTGCCATGCATGATCGTTTTCTTAGAGAGTAGTGCATGTCCGGCGTAAATGCCAACGACAACATTGCGCAAGCATTTCGAGGACAAGTTCATCTCATAAAAATTAGTTTGAAACTGAAATCATAGATATTTAGAGTAATAGACATGAATAACTTAAGTTTACAAAATTTGATTTGGACCAATAAATAATTTTAAGTTTGTTTGAAAATGTTTTTGAAATGATTGAAAATATTTTTAAAATAATTGAAAAGGCTTTTAGTGAAATTAAATGTTTTGTAGAAGAAACACCAGGTATTTACTTATTGCAGAAAATACTTAAAATACTTTTCAAGTTTCACTTAAATTTGTTCTAAGAACTGGTTTTAAAAATATTTTTCATCAAAAGAGATTTTAATTAATTTAAAAAACACTTTTATTATAAATTAAAAGCACAAAAAGTTGATTGACTCAATGTGAATGTGGTAATTTTATTTATTTATCTACTTGGATTTTTTGTAGTCTGACAAATTATTCATAGAATATTAGTGTCAAAAGTTCCTAAAATTGTTTTGTAAATTATTTCACAGAAGCATGAGTTGACCATTCCTTAATAAAGTTATCGTGCCGAATATGTGTGGCTGACTCACCAAAGCCTTTTTTAATTAACTTTTTACAAAAAACAGTTGACCCTACAATGCTTAAATACAGAAGAAGATTATCTTTGAATCTATTTTGTGAGGATTATTAGAATTTTTACATTTTAATTATTTATCATATATTATACGATCAATTTTTATCAGATGTTATTTGTATTTAATTTTAAATAAAAAAATCAAATAATTTTTGACCGTATGATACATAATGAATAACTAAGATGTGAGTATCTTTGGAATCCCATAATTTGGATCTGGATAGAATACAAATCCCTCAAAAACATACATGCGGTCTCGTTGGAATCCCACCAACACTTTAAAAAAAAAAAAAAAAAACTAAATATTTAGCAAAGGAATTAGGATTTTTTTATTTCATGCCATGGGGAATTGGTACGAGAATTTAATCTTTTACACACTTCTATTTTTTTACTGTTACTTTTATTTTAATCTTTTACACATTCTTATTTATATTATATTTTTATTTTTATAGATTCGTGATATATCTATATGCATGTCATTCTAACAAAAGTTAGCCGAATCTATACCACCTATTAATAGAACACTTTTTGTCAACAAAAAATAAACGTCATGCATTTTTTTTTTTGAGGTAACCTTTCATGCATAATTAAAATAAAATATTTGACAAGAAAAATCATGGAGATTAAAGTAAATTCAACAAAAATAAGTTTAGTTTTTTTTTTTTTCCCTTCTTCTCTCATTCAAATGTCATCAAAACGAATCTCCAATTAAAAAAATTAAAAATTAAAATAAACCACATTCTCTCTCTCTCTCTCTCTCTCTCTAACATTTCTTCCCACTTCTCTCTCTTCCATATTATAGTTGTTTTTTCTTTTAAATTTTTTATATTTACGCACACATAATATATGAGCTCCATCTAGTAATTATAATTATTTTGATTTACAACGAGCAATTACAAAATCATTTTTCAAAAACTTTATAGTTCTCTATATTCACTATGAAAATATTCTTGCTTGCAGGATTGAGCCAAGATATCAAGAACTCCTAAGCAAGGACATAACTAGGGCAGAGAAAGACGGGGTCGATGTCCGAGTTGTCGCCGGAGAAGCATTGGGAGTCAACTCCCCAGTTTACACCAGAACACCAGCAATGTTTCTAGATTTCGTCTTAAAACCAAGAGCTCAACTTCATCACTGCATACCGGAAGCCTGGACTTCATTTGTGTACGTAATCGAAGGAGAAGGGGTGTTTGGATCAACTCATTCATCAGCTCATCACGTCTTGGTTTTGGGTCCGGGAGACGGTCTAAGCGTGTGCAACAAGTCATCGGAGCCGTTGCGGTTTCTGTTGGCGGCAGGGCAACCCTTAAATGAACCAGTGGTTTCGCATGGCCCTTTTGTGATGAACACACAGGAGGAAATCTACCAAACTATTCAGGACTATCACTATGGCATGAATGGGTTTGAAATGGCCAAGAGTTGGAGATCTCAATGAGTGGGAAATGACTGATTTTCGCACTCAGTCTTTCTCCTCTTGTACTTCTTTTCTTATTTTCGTCAATTAGATTGGATAAATCGACAGAGAAAAGTAAAAAGAGAAGTGCAGAGGAGAAACGAGTGTGAAAACCAAAATAGAAGAATAAGATAAAGGAGTTGTCTTCATCATCAGTCAATTGTCTCCATATGTATTCCATCCATATTAGCAAATCTAGTAGGAAGTGAAAATAAAACAAAAGATTTTACAAAATTTGGGCAAAAGCTTCTAGAAGAATCTTGAGTTTATATTGGTTTACCCACTTCATGTATGATGGGTCAACTTGTCTTTTCATTACTTTTCTTTAAGTAAGATTTTTCTTTTTCTTTTCCTCTTTTGTAATGAGTTTTTGTGGTAATTATGTTTTGAATTTGATTATATTATGTTCGGTAATTCTATTCACACATCTTTTTTTATTTTTCACATATCTTCTGTTAATTTCTGTCATTTGATATTCTTCAATTCATATTCCAGCTGACGGCTGTAACTGAAAAAAGTGTGTGCAAAGTAAAATGAAGTGTATGGATAACACTGCCTTGTATTTTTTCTATTGGGGTTTGATTGTGATGGGAAATAGTTGTGTGGTAGGGTTGGCTTTTACCTTGTGAGTTGGGTTCTCAACCATATCTCTAACACCCCAAATTGATCCTCCACCAACTATGTGATTGCTAGAACAACCACTCTCACCCACAATTGAGTTGAATATTTTGTAGCAAAGGTTGATTTTGTTCTAGAACTAATATCTTTGGAGTGATGCCACCATTGGGATATCAACTTAGTGGCATAGTTGGGAGTTGAGGTTAGGCAAGCACCCAACTCCCATCCCATTACTCTATCTAAGGTGTGAATCTGCGGCCATTGATTCTTCAAATAAATAGAAAATTCTTCTTTTGCACAATTTGGTCTACCATTAGTGTTAGTAAACAGTAACATAAAAATAAAGTAACAAACATTGTTCGCATCCTTACATATAAGGAGTTTCACCTGATTTTTGAACTGGTCATTCAGAATCAAAGAGTTCTAATGCCAACAACAGCTGTCTTCCAACTCAACTTGTACCTCTAGTCGATGAAGTCAATCACATATATTGAATTGACTTAGAACTTGTCTGAAAGTGTTTTTAAAATAAATGAAAGCGGTTTTGGTAAAAATATAACCAATTATTAATAAAAACCAAGTGAGTATTGGAAAAGTATTTTAGTAGTTTCTACAAGAAGCATATATCTGATGCTTATTCCAAAAAGCACTTGGAACCCAAAATCAATTTCATCAAAAACATTTTCAATCATTTTAAATGTACTTTCAAACGAGCCCATAATAAAAGAAAAAAAAAATATAATTTATACGCATACATCAAACTTTAATTAATTAGTAAGGAGGAAATGCTCCTTGCATCTAAGGAACCATTTGCAATGAAGTCAACATCACATGATCAGAATGGTTGCTTACAGAATAGTGCCTGGGTCTACTTAAAAAGCACATACAACTGGCAAATAGGGACATTCAAATAATGTAGCTTGCAACCGAACCAGCTCATCATGCATCACCACCTCACACAATTGGCTGGCTACTCGTGTGCAGTAACATGGTTTCTACGTAGAGGTGAAGATTGAGTTTTATACGACCATCTCCAATCGAAAGAGTTAAATATAACCTCACTTAGATTTATAGTCATGAAAAAAATTATTTTTAAATAAACAGTGTCAGAGCATACTCATATATCATCTCTAACCGAAAAGGCTAAACATAGTCCTCTCAGTAGTTTATTGGTTTTAAGTTTATATTTCAAATTTATTGGTTAATTGAATTAAACTATCGTTAAATATTTTAAAATCCAACCACTGAATTTATATCACATAAAAGTCATCGAGTTGCTGAACATAAATGCTTACTAGAACAAATAACATCACACAAAAGAAATGGGGTGCCCGTCTTCATTTTATAGAAGTTACATGGTTCCCATCCAGTGTACAAATTCAACTTGTTTACATGAATTACAAAGATAAGAATTTACTTGTATAATATCGACTTGTTCGGAAACCTTTGAGCAGGTACCGAATACCAAACAAACCAATTAACGAACCAAATTCAATAACCAACCTTGGAAATGCCCTCGAGCGCTCGTCCTACACGTTTTTGTGATCTTTTGGGAGATATAAACCATATCAACCGGAACAGCAAGAAAAATAGCCCTGGGTTTTATTTGATCCATCTGCTCCATTATTAACGAGGCTGACCCTGTTCACAGATAACTCTGCTTTGTACGTATCCGAGTTCAAGACCTTCCGGCTGACATTGTTATATATTTCTTGAATCACAAGCTCAAAAGCCTTTATAACATTTGTTGAGTCCAGGGCAGATGTCTCCATGAAGAATAACCCCTCTGCTTCAGCAAGGCTTCTACCATCCTCAACACTCACAGCCCTAATATCCTCTAAATCACATTTGTTCCCCACTAGCATCATTGCCAGAGTTGTATCGGAATGAGCTGCACCAATGATTAATCAAGCTCAAAAATAAGAACTTAGTAGTAAAGCAAGAAATGGAGGTCACGACGACCAAAAGTAATAATAGATAAGCGCAGAGTTGTTGAGTCTTAAATTCAAATAATATAACAAGGATACATTCTTTACATACATTCAGAAAGACAAATGAAATAATAATATACAGAATATGTTGCAATTCCAAGCTATCTTAGTCATGAAAAGGGCCATGAAAGAGAGAGCTAACAAGAAAACTCAGTTTAGAAGATCATTCGAAGCTAATATGATATAGAGAGATACAAATAAATATATTACACAAAGGCAGGTATTTTCATGAAAAGAATAGACCACTTTCACCATATAGAACTGATACTGCAAACTCATTAAGCAAGACTCTTCCATAACTTTGTTTTTCAACTTCTCGAGCTTCTTGGAATTTAATTCTTGGAAGAAAATTCAATCCAAGATAGTCCCCTAAAGGATATGGATTTGTCCATGCTTCAGAGACATGCCAATGCGTTCTCCTTCTACAATAGAAAATCTTGATGGTCAAGTTTTTAAGCACTTTTGCTCCTATGTGGTTTGTTTGTTTGGTCCATTTATGATAGAATTGGATTTTTAGGCATTTAGTTTTCTCTAGACGTTGTTGTCTAAATTTTTTAAGAGACATTGCTGTTAGTGTAATGAATCGTGATTCGGGGAGTATTTTGAGCTGAATGCAATTTTGATTAGGCAAAGTTTTTAGGACACAATGCGCAATGTTATCAACTTTGTAGTCTCAAGGTTAATATACAGAGGAGAAAAAGAAAAAGGCCTACTGACAACTTGTGACGAATGCTAACTTAAACAAACTTGGTGATCATGGCAAAAGGGAACTTCTATAAATGCAACAAAATAAATAGCATGATCATTACCATCATGAAGATGTAACACCAAGAAAAAACCCATAAGAGGAGTTGCTAACACAAGAAGCCATGAATAGACTCTATCAATATTCATAAGGAAAAATGATAATAAAAAATAAAGATTAGGATTGTGTAAGCTAAACATCTAATGTATTCACTATTAGAAGTAATTAAAAAAATTTCTCTGTGTTGTATTTTTTCTTACAAGAACAAAATAATTACAACCACAGTTGACATGCAATCCACAAGCACAATAAAATAGTAGTGGCTAACTATTGACACTGTATTTCACTATTAGAAAAGGTAAAAATTTTGGTAAATAAACACTAATCGTACATTTTGAATTTTTCAGAGAAAAATTAAGGTACGGATATGGACCTCCTAAAGAATGATTTTTTCGAGAATAGTGTGGAGACTACAAGTGTTGCTAGCCTAATTTCAAACATATACCAAGATAAACTAACAAGGCATAAATTTCATGCGGTACTAAATACCAAGAACACTTGGTTAACTAGATGGTAGGCTTGGAAAGCATGTCCCCCCACATAAAAAATCCAAAGAGGAGTGGTAAGGACCCCCTTACACTGATTGATTGCTCTCTCACAAATAGAATCGGATGGCCAAAGCTCTTAGATTCAGCAAACAAACAAACAAACATGTATCACTTGGGCCCTCATATCTCAGACACTATAAACAATCAATCATTATCTGTCAAACACCTCCTCAGTAGATTATAGCGGCGATTCATGCATCTTAGATAATAACTTCAACCAAAACCTCTTGAATATATATAATCTTTTAGCTGTTCAGAAACTTAAAGATTCCTATATTACCCCCTTCTTAGTTACTAATACTCTGTATAGAAGCTAACACACCATACTACATACATTCGACCACAAAGTGTTACACGCAAAACAACCAAACCATCAAGTTATCTGAATCTTCTCAACTACCCAATAGACGCACCTCATGCCTAGATTTGCAACGAGGATCCTCGCCGGATCCTCCAATCACATCCGTTCATTGTATATCGTGTGGTCAGTTTTTATTAGGTACGGTTTATATTCAATTTTAAATAAAAAAATTTACAATGATTTCTGACCGCACAATGTGATTTGACGAACCCAAGAGGATCCGGCGAGGATCCTCATTCCTCGATTTGACACAATAGACTTACTTACATCATTGGCTGCCGGAATGTATTCAAAAGTTCACATATATTAGTCAATAACTCAATATAAGCAAAATTTTCTTTCAATTTTATAACAATTTACACATCCACCCCAAAAAAACAAAAGATTTTGAAAAAAATAATTAGCTTTCTTCTGAATGAAGTTTTCAAACAGAGAATTCTTAATCATAAGTACATAAGATCTAAATCCATATCCATCACATCCAATCAAAACTCACATTCACCTAAAACAAAAGCAACCCACAAATCCAACAACCACAATTACGACAATTACTTTAGCAATTTCGCTTCAAGATGAAAACACCATAACCAAAAGCAAAAGCAGAAAAGAAGAAAACTTTGTCTGAATAGACGGTGTAAGTAGCTTACTCTTGAGCTCATCGAGCCAGCGGCCAACACTCTCGAAAGTGGTCTTGCGGGTGATATCATAGACAATGAGAGCTCCGACGGCGCCGCGGTAGTAAGCAGAGGTGACGGCCCTGAAGCGTTCCTGTCCGGCGGTGTCCCAAATCTGAGCTTTGACCTCTTTGCCGTCGATTTCCATGCTCTGGGTCTGAAACTCCACGCCTATGGTGGCCTTGGAGTGGGCATTGAACTCGTTCCGCGCATAGCGGGACAGCAAGTTCGATTTCCCCACCGCCGAGTCGCCGATTATAACGATCTTGAAGAGGTACTCCTCCCCTGACCCCTCCTCGTCTGAAGACGACATCTCGCTCGCCCCTGCTCCCTGGTTCTTGCTTGCTTCTTCTTTCTGTTAATCCAGCACAGAAATTTGAGCACGCAGTTCGAGAATGGAAGGAGTGGGAGGGAGGAAGCGAGTTTTGACAGAAAAATGGCGGTCTGTCAGATTTTGGAGGAGAGAGAGAGGGGGAGGAGAGAGAGAGAGAGAGAGAGAGAGAGAGGAGTGATGGTGTTGTAATTGCGCTGGCACGAGGCAGACGGACATACTGCGCAAGTAGTGCCTTCGTCATAGATTTTTGGGCATCTTTTTTTCTTGTTTTATTTTTTATTTATTATATTTCTAATTTATTCTTTTATTGCGGTTTTACGAATAGATTGGGCATCTTCAATTAAATATTTAAAGAAAATAAATTCTGTTTAAGAAATGGGTATTTTTTTTACCATATTTTCATATTATTTTAGATGGTATTTAACGTGAATATTCACATCATTTAAATTAATCAAAATTTTAAATTTAATTCATTATTTAATAAATTAATAATTAAGAGAAACTAGTTAATTAAACGATAATTGTGATATACGAAAAATCTTTCTTATTCATTTCATTAGGTTTTGCAAGTTTTTAAAATAATGTAGTTGTCCACGTTAAATGGCAATTAACTCAAAATTTTGAATCCACACCAAACAGGCCCAAGCCCAACCTAAAACCCAAACCCTAGCTAATTAACGAAGCTCTTCCTCGCCATCTCCAAAAGCCCCCTGTCTGCTGTTCCCTCGTCTCCGGTTGAAGCTCTCCCGCTCTCGTCTGAAACTCCATCCTCCGGGTCAGTGTTCACCTCTCTTATCTTTCGCATCTCAGCATTTTACCTGTTGCTTACTGTTGAAAACACATTTTATGGTTTTCTTCTTAATTCTTTGTTTTGTTGTTCTTTTTATTTTTATTTTATTAAGAATTAAGCTCGAATTTTTAGTTGGGTATGTGAATCGAATTAAGAAATTTAAGAATTTGTATCCTTTTCTCCTTTCATTTCATTTTTTTTTTGCTATTTTATTTAATATTTTTCTCAATTTTATAACTTGATTTGTAGGAATATCTGGTGTTAGGTCTCAGTCCTTAATTTTAATATTAGAACATTTGAGCATTGTGAAATAATCTCCAATTTTGATCATCAGAAATTTGTTTTTTTAGATTTTTGTAGCTTGATTTTTAGTGGCAGTTATTAGGAATTAGTGACATATTTGTGTTGGTTCTTGCAGAACTAAACCATATAATGCTCTAAATTTTGTAGCTTTTCAATTGTGTTTATACAGAATCATGGCCGCCGCCGCCGTAGCTGCTCCTGCTGTGGTCGAACCAACGCAACCTCACTATGACGTGAAGCTGTTCAACCGCTGGAGCTTTGATGATGTTCAGGTTGCTGGATTTTATACTATAATTTATTTGATTTCTACTGTTTTGAGCGCGGTAAAATAGTTTGTCTAGACCGTATGCTTCATCGTGTATGCATAGAGCTACGATAGGTATTTGGTGCTGTCCTGAATACGCCGATCTTATTTCTTATGTGTTATCAAATTTATACAGATAAAATTATTGTTTTCTACATATTTTTGTTAATTTCATACATCTTATACTTCGTTGCCTGGCCATTGAGATCAGTTCTGTCTCAATTTGACTTTAGTTTATTTGATATGTCGTCTTTTGGTGCGAAAAAACTTGATAACATTATCATTCACATTTTCAAATGTATGGACTAATTTGTCAACATCTACTTCCTTTGTATACTTCAAGTGATAATGTATAATTTGCAATATATAGGTCAGCGACATTTCCCTGGCGGACTATGTTGGAGTGGTACCTGCCAGGCATGCAACTTACGTACCTCACACTGCTGGGAGATACTCGGTGAAGCGATTCAGGAAAGCTCAGTGCCCTATTGTGGAGAGGCTTACAAACTCACTCATGATGCACGGAAGAAACAATGGAAAGAAACTCATGGCTGTCAGGATTATTAGGCATGCAATGGAAATTATCCATTTGCTGACTGATCTGAACCCAGTCCAAGTTATTGTTGATGCTGTCGTTAACAGGTACATTGACATGAATATGTTTAAATATCGTTTTCCCCCGGTTAATTCCTTAAATTGATCAAGCAATTTTCATTTTCTTCTATTGTATGTCTTTATTTGTATGTCTTGTTGTTTCTGATCAGTGGTCCACGTGAAGATGCAACCCGTATTGGATCTGCTGGAGTTGTTAGGCGTCAAGCTGTGGATATCTCACCTTTGAGACGTGTGAATCAGGCTATCTATCTCCTCACAACTGGTGCTCGTGAGTCGGCTTTCAGAAACGTCAAAACTATTGCGGAATGTTTGGCTGATGAACTTATCAACGCTGCCAAAGGTTCCTCTAACAGGTACTCGTTTCTTTCCCTCTATGTTATGTAGTCTGTTTCCATTTCTTTCCCGTGATTTTATCGTTTCCATTCTGACAATCGGTGGTGTTTTTCTGCGCAGTTATGCAATCAAGAAGAAGGATGAGATCGAAAGAGTTGCAAAGGCCAACCGTTAAGGGGATGCAAGAAACCGTGATGCAACGGGGAAATTGGTTTCTGGGTTTTGCTTAGAAGATGCCGGATTACTCTTTATTTTGTCTCTGCCATTTTTGGTTTCGAGTATTAGATATGGTTTGAATGTATCCAGAGGACCGACTTTTATGTTTAAATTTGGGAAGAGCATTTTTCTCTTGTCAAGCAGGGACATTAACGTTATCAAATCTTTCTGTGTGCTTAAATTTCCAGTCTCATTAGTAAAAAGGCAAGTGAAGCGTTAAAAATCACTTGGAAGTGCTTTTTGCAAGAAGTACAGTAACTGCTTTTGAAACTGAAAAACATTTTCTTTAAAAGCACTTTTAGTTATTTTAAAACCACTTCCAAACAAGCTTTACTCTATCTGAGCGGTTGCAGCAACAAATCCGCAATTGGAATCGGTTTTCGGCACCCCACCGATAAAATCAAAACTTTACAGAACATGAAAACCAAGAAACTGATAAATGAACTGCAAAATGCACAATATTCATTCAACGAAAGAAACAAAGACAATTTCTTGATGAGTTAGGAAACACTGTAGATTCATCGTATATACAAAAATCTTTCGATAAACACGTGGAGATTTGAATCACTGCAAAACATGAAAGGACAGTTTCCGTCCCCAACGTTTGAACGATCAAGTTCTCTACTCATAAATATGAAGTCTAACCTGCAAGTAATGCAACAAAGTTAGTCTAGCTTCGGTTGCTCCTACCTTCTTTTGACACCCTCAGAGTTTGGACCTCTCTGGTCGATTGCGTGCTTCATCATCATTTGGGATCATTTCGCGGTTGGTTTGCAGCCGCAAGTGCAATGCTCGAGATCATTATGAAGATCCTGCGAATAGGGGAAAAGGAAAACAAATCTTATAAGACGAAATTTGAGGAAGAAACGAAGGGAAGTAAATCGTTATACTTGTCGACATTCAACAGTGAAAGTTAAACAAAAAATCGTCATTCATCTTTTTTGTTCAATTTTAGACAAAATCTATATAGGAAGGTGCAATCTAGCAACTAATTACCCTCATTTGGCAGAGCTTAATAAAACAGTTTTTGATACAATTTAAAGGAAACAAAATAACAGTATAGAAAGGGGTTTTCAAATTTCAATAGTTTTACGGTTTCTGAACTAAGAGCTGAAAGCATGATCAGAAACATTCTTTTGAAACTCCGGACTCAAAACATTGTTACTTAATGTATGTAAATCACAATCGTAACACAAAAAGAAAAGAACAATAGCTGTGCATGCGACAGTTCTGGAGCAAGCGTATTGTTGAGATCGACCTATTATCATTTGAAAAAACCAAAGCACGTTCATGTCGTGTATGTAAAAAGTTTGCAAATGCGATAAGTATTAAGTATTGAAGTTACGAATTAACAATTCACAAACCTGGATTTGATTTTGAAGGCCTTTGATATGTTGCACGGCTAAATCCAACATGTCCGCATAGCTCGTTTGCTGAAATGAAATTGGGAGAAGTGTTTATAGCTTGTTTATAAGTTTCATAATCGAGCATCGTAAAAGTTTGTAGTCAATGCTCATACAGCAATGTACATATGAACATGAAAGCTGGAGAATACATGGGTCTCCTAACTGAAAAAAATTAAACAGAGTTATTCGTGCATCAAATCAAATGTTAAAGCAAAATGCTTGGCATGCATAGCAATTCCGATGGGAGCTATCTTAGGTTTAAACGTCATAGGATGATTTAAGATTCACGATAAATAAAAGGATTTCCATGCCTATTTGGGATTATGTTTTATTTATCCAGTTTGAATATTATGTTTGATTGAGTTTGTACCTAATTTTTTTCTTAAGTGGTCACCTGACGGCGAGTTTTCAAGGATAGGAGGTCTAAATGTAAATAGTTTTTTAAGTAATCAAGGGATAGGATGTTATAAATACTATCTTAAAGAGACTTTGTATACAGTTTTATGTAGGTTTTCCCCCATTATGCATCTGTACAAGTTCTTTTATGGAAAAGATACGCTAACTAAAAACGCTTTGGATTAAAGTGAAAATACACAATAATATCATTACAGCATCAATAACGTCAAGACCATATATATTTTCAGTAACATTCAGTAATACAGGTTTAAAAGAGACATCGATTACTACCTTATCCATGTTAGGAACAAGGTCTTGTAGTTTCTTTAACTTCCCGCTTATTCTAGTTCTTCTCTCCTGCATAAACGAAAGTTACGAGTCAGGAGGACATATTTCAATAAACATAAACAACATACCAGAACATAAGCTTCATGGATGAGTTGGTAACCCTCTCTGCAATGCTTCTGGGATGAGTTGCACAGCCACGCTTAGCACGGATTTTGCAAGGAACAGAATCTTCAGGAATGTGTAGTAGCTTCTCTACTGTTGCCATTTCTAAAGACGTCTGGGGAAGGCTAAACTGAAATGGACAACGAAACAACTATTAATAAGAAAAATTGCAACTCTAAGAACCAAGCACGTGAAA